AACGTTTTTTATACTCCATCTCGTTCCGGTTAGCGTTCGATGATTTTAAGTTTAAAACAATACTCAAACATATTTTATAATAATAATAGTATAATACAAATACAATAYATTGAATATAAAATATTAATACTATATATACATAAAATATGTTTGACGCTGCGATCTACATCCATAACACAGAAAACATACTTTATCATCAAATTTCCATAAGTACGATTCACGCTGTCTGTAATGTTGTAGCGTCAAACACAGTTTTACTAAATTTTCATTTTATGACCCGTTGTATATTAGATATAAACACAATATATATAATTATTGTTGAAAAATTAAAATATTAGAGTAAACTATATGTTTTAGTCTTTTAGATAAATTATATTATTATTATATATGCATAATGCATATATCTTATTACCGTAATCAATAAATTGTAGAAAAATGAAAAAAAGTGATATTAGGTTAATTATTAAATGTTAATATTGACCTAGAACTCTTGTAGTAATTTTCCTAGGAAACAACCCATACATATTCATTGATAAAACCGTGAATAAGTTATCCGTATCCGCATTTAAGCTTAATGGGTGATRGATGTTATAGGTACGATTTGACGTGTTAAGTTTTAAATCTATTTCAATGGTTTTCGGGTGTTTCATGTTTCGATTCGACTGCTGAAATGACATAGCAATGATAATAAATAGTATTAGCAATGTATGCCTAATGCCTATAATACAGTAATAATAATATACATATACAGCAATACCTAACCGTCTGATACAACCGATGAACAATCTAATTATCTACTGATTAGTAATTTATTATATTAATGATAATGTAGAACACTTAAAAAACCCATTTAGTTATATARTTATTACTAAATTACATATTACTTATATAATATGAGCTAGGTACTCTGGGTACTTACGTTCCGGAAAATTTGACATACCTACTTGCCATACTTATATAAGGTTATGTACCTTATATAAATTGTAATAGGTACATAAAATCTATTTGAAACGTTAGAAGTTCGAAACGTGCAAAACATATTTATGTAAAGTTTCAGTAAATAACAATGAATAACTAAAACATACTAAAAGAACAAACATGTTTAGCGTATGCTAAAAAGTATAAATTATTGTATAAATAGTAGTCGGAAAAATATATTTAGATATTAATATCAGACTAACAAATTAAATAATAAAACAAACCCRAAGTGAAATTGAAACATATTATAAACTGCGATACGAGCCAGAGAAAGAGTCGCCTCTCTCCGCATTGACCTCGGCRTTGACGTTTTCGGCGTAATCGGTAATTTGCTGTCACACGTCATTCATAAAAAAATGTATAATAAGCTCTCAAAACATCGTATACAAAATGTATTATTACATATATACAGGTTTCTAGTCCTTAGCACTTTATCAGAACCCACACATGCGTGTTTSTGAAGTTCTTCTTTATTTTCTCCGTCGTTTCCCTTACTGTTCAATTTGTCATGTAATTTTGAACTCGAGTTTTCGATTGCCGAAATCTCATTATCTAGTGGATGTTGTTTATGCGTGTGCGATATCTCGATTCTCGATAGCTTAAAATTTGTATTGTTATTATTTCTTTTACAACATGTTCAGATAATTTATTAATTATTTTGGTAGTTTAGTACCAAATTCGCTTTTTATCGGCTATCCGCTGAACTTCACAAGTGTGCTCACCACATATACTCATCAGTTATTAGCGTATTACTTATTATTAATTACCTACAAAATAATAAGCTTTAATGTTAACCTTTATGTGTCTAGTCAGTCTACAGATATGATTAATGTATTCTGTAAATGTTTGGTTATGTGTTTTACTAGAGCCATAATTCGCGGAAATCGTTTTCAGGGTAAATATACTAGCTATAACCTAATAGGTACCTAAATATTTTAGTTTTTAGTTTTTTTTTTTATACGAAAAAACTTGTAYTTTAATTGTATTAAAATATTATACACTATTACCATTTCCAAGTTACATTTTATTTTTTTTTCGATTCATAACACGCGTTGTTGAAATCATGCCAACTGGATATTAAGTTAAATGCATATAATGCAGTTTTCCTACATATGTACTATACAACAACAATTTACCATTAGCACTTGGGTCAGCTGTCTTAAAATGTAAATTTTTAACGAACTAAGCGTGCTTAAAAACAACTATCTGCTCAAATACAATGAATTTGATTTGTAAGCATWCTAATAACAAACTGTTGTATACTCGACGTGTATACAGCGTGTGCGTTTTATAAAYTCTATATTAAGTGGGTTATTAAATATGAAAAGCAATAAAACACGTCTGTACTTGGTGTTGTAACTTTGTAAGTGGTTTGATTTCGTATGATCCATTATAAAAAGTATAGATGTATATGTATACAATTTACATTAGGTGACAATTATAATAATTATTATTATTACTTATTTGTTATTAGTTTACGTATGAATGGACGCYGAACATGTTTAAATCCAATAAAATCGAATACTTTTTACTATCCTATTAGTATAATGACGCCGAACCGTACATAATATGTATAGTACATTATAGTATACAATAATAATACGTTCCGCCGAGTATTTCGTATATTGATTTCAAAACCGTGTGGTGTTTAGATGTGAATCTTTTCTTTGTGTACAATTTCAAGATTTGGGCTTGGCTGTTTTTTTTATATAGATGTCACAGCCAGCCATACAATATGATATTATGATGGTTACATGTTAGCAACTAATGTATTTTACTGTCGTCAAGATTGTACCTCGAATCATGATTTACGGTCAGAACGTTGTTTGGACACCGTGTTGAGCTATCGTAAGAAAACAATGATTTAAATAAAAACGCAGCCGTGATCACGATAATATTTTATTAACTTCGAAACGATTATCATAATTTATTTTATTATTATTATAAATTAAAATATAATTGAAACGATCGTTGGAGCAAAAATGTAATTATTGACGGGTGGTGTCATTTAATCCGGGCGAGGCCGTGTCCGAAATCTCAGTGTTGTGTCGCATAATGTCGTATACTCACAAGTGTCACCGCCGTTGCATTCCTCCGATGCAACGTTTGGGATTCAATATGAGAACGCTATTGTATGCACATTTTGAAAAATGTATGCTCGGCGAACATGCGCGCGTGCTTTCATACATTATTATTTTTTTAAATTATAAATTCGCGTTTATTCGAYGTAACCTAACACATAGTAGGTACCTAGATACTCATAATGCACATCGCGCGCACGAGCTGACATCTTCAAGCGGTAATTGCGCGCGGCGGTGGGGGAATTTCGTCCTTGAGTCAAGGCAGGGTCATTACTATGTAGGCTAACGTATTCGTTGTAGTAGGCTTATAATATTATTATTATATCGGTCTACCGTCTCCTCAGCTCCGTCGTTCCCTCTCACCTGCCCGTGCGTTCCTCACCATAACCGACCGATTGATCGCCTCTTCACCGCGCTCGCGGTATAACTTCACTCCTCGTATTCATCTTTATGAAATCTTCGTGGTTGGACGAAAAAAATACACACACGTCACGTATAAAATATGATAGAATAATGCTATTTTCAGTCGCCGACGACCATCTCTCCGACTCCATCAACATCTTGCTCGCGCGCCGAGTTTGTTGACCTGTTGCACTCCCGACCACTGACCGACGAGCGATAGAGACGGCAACCGCCGCATATTATTACACGCGCGCACGCGTACACGCCCATGGTTATTGCCAAAAAAATAATAATAAATAAATAAAAGAAGTACAAATCCTGTTCAGAGTTGGCCTTGTTCGAGGACGAAGAAACGCACGCACATTTATTATATGTTCATAATTCATATACTAGTCGGTCGTCACACGCACACCAGCCGCGTTAGCGTTTCTTCCTATAMAATTTACATAATCGGTTTTTGTTATTATTATTTTCCCTATACGTGTGGGACCGCCGTCTATAATAAATTGGTACCATTAGAGCAGTCGCTCAACAGTCTGCAGCGACAGTGTTATCATAAACTTGGTAGACAGTATAGTTGGTTTCATCGAAGTCGTCCCCGCATCATATTATAATCTTCGCAAGATGCGGCCGCGTGTTCAGTTTACCGAAATGGCGGAATGTGTTGGGGAATCGTACGTTGTAATCTCGCCTCTGACCGCCGTCGTCAAAATATATTATGTGATGACATCCGCCATTCCTTTGTCGACTGACGTGGTGGCCGTGGTGGTGCCCCGCCGCATTGCGTGTTACAAATTACAATTATAAACATCCGTGGGAGTGGTTGTTGTCGCGTATTGTTCCCCACCTCCTCTATATAAACACTGTATTGTCACATGTATTATAATTATATACAAAAAACAATATTATGTGATCGTACATTATAGTAGTTTATCGTCGATAGACATATTGTATAATATTTATACGCGTTCATTATAACATTGTATATTTTTATGTATACGTGTGCGCGCGGATATCTCGTCTCAAGGGCGCCGCGGGGGGGTGCAATTGCACCCACCTGGCTTAAAAAAAAAAATTTTATGGTATTGAAATGATTTTTTTTGCATAATTATCTGTTAAAAACTTTGTATCCGACGAAAAAACAAAAATAACTTTGTATCGTCATATAATTTGAAAAAAAATTTCTACGTATTTAACTAAAATAATTTAAACATTATTTAGAAATCAAAGTATACTATGCACGATGCACCCCCCTGACAAAATTCCTGGCGGCGCCTATATGTCTCGTCTTATACAATTGTCAATATAATAGGTACGGATTCGAATATCTTTAGGCTTTTAGCGTCCGAGTTGTCAGGAATAATTCGGAWTAGGAAAAACGAATCGCATCTTCGGCTAGATTGGTTGAGCGTTGTAGCTGCTTATAATATGCACATAGTAATACTCACCTACACCAATTAAAATAGGTACAACGAAAATAATGAAATGTAAACGCTTGTCGACGGAGGTTCAATTAATAATTGTTTTCATTGTTTTTAGATGGGCAGTGACAACAAAAAGACGAGTTCAGTTGCGGCCGTTACAGCTGCGGCGTCTAAGTCACATCAGGTGGAAATGGAGAGCGGCGCAGAACACCCGTACTTCGTGTTTGGCCGGGGCTGGGCGTCGTGGGACCCGTCCAAGACGTTGGCCAAGTATGGGCTGACTTGCCAGCGACTGCAGGTGGGCGACGTGTGCGTGTCGCTGACGAAACGAGCGTCGGCGGTAGCCTCTGACGCGACAACGACCACGGCCACGACGACGCCACCGCACGGTAAACGACGACAACAGCACAACRTCGCTGTAGCCGTGCAACAGCAGCAACAACAACAACAGCACAACAATCATCAGCAACAAAACCTCCATCATCTCCATCAACATCATTCGGCAGTCGTTCAAAAGGGTCAACTGCAGCCGCAGCAGCAGTCCGTAGACGACGAAAAGAATAGCAGGAACAAGAGACGGTGGTCCGCCCCTGACCCGGAACCCGGTACTTAAGAACACGGTTTACTATGAAGAAGACAACAATCCTGTGTGCCTAAATGTTTCATTTCCGCGTCTCGGTCTTCCTCAAATCTTATGAAAGCGTTAACGATGTTYACGTCTTAAATACATTTATGTAATCGTTTCGCGTTGGTTTTTGTATAATATTTTTATTGATATAAAATATTTATACGTGCAAGATTTTACGGGACAAAAACGACGTTAAAAAAATCTTCTAGTCCCCTACCCCATCCATCCTCCTTATTTCTTCCATCAACGATGTGACATAATTTTTCGTTTTGTTGTTTGTATACTTTCATTGTTTTCTCCATRACCAACCCAAATAGAATTGATTCCAATCTCTCGTGRCGGTGTTTAAGTTGAAATTTTGTTATGTTGGTGTGTAATGATTCCCAGCTTTGCAGTTACTTTTACTTCAATATAATATGTAATCGTATTAAGACTGAAAATTCTCGGAAGGTTTTTATAGATTGTTTTGGATATTTCATACAAAAGTATATAAGTGCATTATATAATTATAACCACGAGGTGTTTGGAATGTGAGGATCAGGGCAGGAAAAACTAGGAACTGAAAAAACAAAACGCAATGATAAACTAAAGGATTMACTAGTTTTCTCTTAATGTGAAACATATTAAATTATAATTTGTTATGTGTAAAAATGAGAAATACTTATTTTTATCATCGTTATTTTGTTAAAAACTCAAACAAAAATTTAGATACATGTTATACATTCACTATTAAAAGTCTATAAAATGTATTTTTTTTTCTCGGAAAAAACAATGTAAAAATCAATACCTATATAATTCGTATTTAATAATTATAGATAATAATATTATGTAAACCACCTTTTAATATTAATACGCTTAAAACTTAAATGCCATACATTACGTGTTATTATTATGTATAAGTTTGCAGTATTTCAAAAACTTTAAATTTATTTCTGGATAGAATGATCTCATCGCGCGTAAATGAACAAATTTTTTTCAAAAATTTTAATTTCTCCTCTTTCTAAATTAAAATTTTTACGCATGTGATATTTTAAAAATGAGGTGAAAATGACCTTTTGATTTTATATTAAAATAATTATAATAATATATCTATATATTATATAATATATATATATATGTATTATAAAATAACTTAAAATAATATTACTATATACGAACATTTGACTCTCAAGACTATAGTTAAAAAATAATATATTTTTACTATGATAATTTTCTTTTAATTATTAATTATATACTTATAACTATTTTTGTTAAAAATCTGATAAGTTGAAGAGACTGACAAGTACATGATAATCGCGGTTGAGTATAACCACTTAATTATTATATTTTTTCTCTCAGGTCTAAAGACTGTAGATGTGAAATTCTTTTTACCTCTCAACAATATGATATTTATTTATTTATATTTAGCCCATGCTTTTTCATGCACATATCCTCATTTTGTCTAATGTATAAATTATAATATTTAAATGTATTGATGTATGATTGAAAATAAAAATTGCCGAATTGTATTTATTTTATTGTATAAAGTTATACAAAAATGGCAATAATACTTTGAGTTTACCAGAATGTTATTTTTATTTTTATTTTTTATTACTTTACCAATATATTATATATGTATTATATTGCATACATGATTATATTTTTATGTTTTTTTGACTATTTCATATTTTACATGTATCGGATTAGTTAAAATGTTTATTACCTTTTGAAACGTGAACTTTGATTGTATTGTGTTAAAAAAAAAATAATATTTTGTTGAGTCTATATATATATTATGTACAAATCTTACATTGTTTTTCTTTTTTACACTCGWTTAGACCTGAATATATTATATATTTATATGTATAATTTAATTTATAAAGTTGTCCTAATAACATATGCCATAGTTGTCTTACGGATGATTATATATTAAGTTTAAAATTCATAACCATGTGCGTTTGTTGTAAAACGTTTCGCATCACATGGTTGAAATTTAAAACAATATAAGCACTATTTGTTTTCTCTCTGACTTRTTACGTCGTGCAACATGGCATATTATTTGCATTCGGGAGTATAACACTTGTATTATTGTTACCTTTAATATTAGAATGAATTGTCTTATTATCTAACATAAAGATAGAAATATTATCTATGTTTATTCGTTGAATTGTTTACGATGTTTCAATAATTATTAATAAATTGCTTTTTATAATCGTTATGACTACGAGTATGTAAAATATAACAATTTAAAAATGCTCATACATAGATTGAAACATTTAAATATTGTAAAACAGGCGACTAAAAATACAGATAATATTCTTGAATTTTACTTTGAATAAAGATTAATACTTCAATTCACTTTAACATTAAGTATAACAACTCACAAGATGGTTCTACCGAACGGAAATTTTACGATGTTGTGCACGGGTCAGAGAAGAGGCTCAGACAAATGGTGCGCTAACATGCTCATAMAAACGTGGTAGTGCATGTATCAAGTTGAGAGTTCTGATCTTTTAGTACATTTTATTTCAATAAATTATGAAAAATTGTTTTTTTGCGTATACTCTAAAACTGTCCCGCAAAAAACTAATAGTAATCAAAGCCTGTGCATGTCTTAAATGAATCCTGCAACCATAAGCCATAAATTTGTCAATTTAGTGAACACCTGTATTTCAATTTTAAAATGATATAGGGTATGATCTATATGTTAAATCGAATGAAACTACAAAAGATAAATTATAATTCATCCTAAAAAGATTATTATTTTTTGTTTTTCTAAAACTTCGGTCCCCAAAAAGTACAATTATTTTAAGCTTTTATACCTATTTGGTTTTTATTATATTTATTTAACAATGTTAATGGATATAATATTTGTCATAAATCATAATAAAATTTATATTTAATTGATAATCCACAGTATGTATCTGTAATTTATATAAAAACTATTTTAATTTATTTTAATATTTTTGTTATGTTGTGTGACTTATAATTCACTTATTATAGATTAAGTTTTGATAATAGACATTTATTATATTATATTATATGAAAATATAAAATTATACAAATTCAGTATAATATAGTTTGCTAAATTAAAAATGTTGTTAACAAAATAATATGATATAATTGATTTTTAATAAATATTCGGATTCATTTTTAAATTTTAGTCTAGCTGAATAATTGTATTTGATTATTTATGTTATTAATTTATTATATCCACAAATGTTCTCCTATTGAATAATTAAAATTTCAAAACATCTATTTTTATACTCCTACAACTTTCAAGTACGTATGCAGTTATAATAATTTGGTGTTCAGCATAATTTTTTGAAAATCAATGATGAGCCATAAATAATAAATAATTTGTAACATTTTTATAAAATATAAATRTTTGACCGTTTGACTGTATTTGTGTTTAAAAAAAAAATGTTAAATGTTCGAAAAAACGAGAAAATGTTACCAAACAAAAATATAATATATAATAACAAGTAGTAATAACACAAATAACTAAAAGATAACAAAAAATTAGATTAACAARATAACTTTTTATTCATTTTTTATACACGTATATAAGTTAAGTTTAATCTGCTGAACGTAAATTTTGGTATGTTACGCACTTGTAAAGCGGAGACAACAAATGCCTGTAATGTTACGCCCTATTAACTCCAAAGTATAGGCTTGATCAAAACAATTTACCCGAAATCACTATTAATGGTGATAGGAGCAGATCAAAAACGGCATGACGTGTCGGTAGATAATAAGTAAATCGTATACAAAAAAAATACAAATCTTCAATCAGTGGCGTGCAGTCGTGCAGATTCCTTTTTCCATGTAGGGCAAAGTTAATTTTTTTACACCCACCCAAAACTAAAAGTTATAAATAATATATGTTTTATTAAGGGCCTTTATACAGTTATATATGAAAACACAATATTTATTAAATTTAAAAAAAAAACCACACCCACCCCATTTTCAAGTGGGGCCTAGGCCCCATTTGTGTCTTATCTGCACGCCACTGCCTTCAATATATAAGACTATAATAACTATAGGTACTTGATATGTTCCTTGTTCCGATCTATAATAGAGTCTGAAATATACGTAAGAAAATGATCGATCTTCATGTTATATGAATATAATATTAATAATATGATCATGTTGCAWGTATTACCATATAATATATAATATATTTTTGTTATTAAATCGTATACCTACCTAATATATTGTATACGATTTAATAACAAAAATAAAGTCAATCTTACATTAAATTTAAAGGAAATATGTAAATTTGTATACAAATACTCAAACCTCGGTTTAAAATAAAAATATGTTCTTAACTTTAAGTTTGATAATAGGTCAATTTAATCTAATATTAAAGCAAGGTTGGTTCTACTCCTGAACACCAAGTTCAACATTTTTGTACCAATTTTCACAAGTTTATTTGAAAATATTTTGCAACGAAATGTTTTGTAACTTACTAGAAATTTCCGAAATCAAGATAAATAAATGACGTTACCCCAGCACCCAATTAAGTTTTAAATTTGTGGACTTTCTTGTAAGTTATCATGGTTTAACAATGGTTACATTTCGTTAAAAAATGGTTACACAATCTTGYGAAAATCGAAACAACAATTTTGAAAGGTTCTAACAAAGTATATTTTCTATATATCGCATTTGAGTCAAAGTATACGCTRCATTACTACCTATACACGTCTACATAAGTATGTATACAGGGTGATTCTTTTAAGTGGGTACACTAATTATCTCAAAAAGTATTTACTTTTTTCAAAATATTTTTTTACATGGTTTCAAGTTGTTAAAAA